CTGTCTCTTGGGCTGATACTTTCCTTGTGTCTTTGGTGTTCCTCATTCTCCTTTACTCCAGGTGTTTGGGACCAATTGATGCATCTTAGATGGCCGCTTGCAAGCTTTTCAGACCCCAGATGCCACTCACCAAAGTAGAATGCAGAACATTTTCTTAATAAGCTTTGTTATGCCAATTGATGTAGATGTCCCCTGAAACCATGGTCCCCAGACCCCCACACCTGCTACTTTGACCCTCGAAGTGTTTGGTTGTATTCAGGAAACTTCTTTTGGTTTAGGCCAGTTGTGCTGACTTCCCCTGTAGTGTGTGCTGTCCTTCCCTTCACCTAAGATAATTCTTGTTTACTATCTAGTTAGTGAATATACCTTCCCCTCCCTCCCCACCCTCGTAACCATCAAAGAATGTTTTCTTCTGTGTTTAAACCTTTTCTTGAGTTCTTATAATAGTGGTCTCATACAGTATTTGTCCTTTTGAGACTGACTAAATTCACTCAGCATAATGCCTTCCAGATTGCTCCATGTTATGTTTCACGGCTTCATCGTTGTTCTTTATCATTGCATAGTATTCCATTGTGTGAATATACCATAATTTGTTTATCCATCCATCCGTTGATGGGAATCTAGGTTGTTTCCATCTTTTTGCTATTGTGAACAGTGCTGCAGTGATGCATATATCTATTCGTGTGATGGCTCTTATTTCTCTAGGATATATTCCAAGGAGTGAGATTGCTGAATCATATGGTACTTCTATTTCTAGCTGTTTAAGGAAGTGCCAAATCGATTTCCAAAGTGGTTGTACCATTTTACATTCCCACCAGCAGTGCATAAGTGTTCCAGTCTCTCCACAACCTCTCCAGCATTTATTATTTTGTGTGTTTTGAATTAATGCTAGCCTTGTTGGTGTGAGATGGTATCATTGTAGTTTTGATTAGCATTTCTCTAATGGCGAATGATCATGAGCACTTCCTCATGTGTCTGTTAGCCACCTGAACGTCTTTGGTGAAGTGCCTGTTCCTGTCTTTTGCTCATTTTTTAATTTAGTTATTTGTCTTTTTGTTGTTGAGATTTTGCAGCACCTTGTAGATTTTAGAGATTAGATGCTGATCGGATTTGTCCTAGCCAAAAATTTTTTCCCAGTCTGTAGGTTGTCTTTTCACTCTTTTGATGAAGTCTTTTTTTTTTTTTTTTAAACACATATTGTTTTATGACATTGGTTAACAACCCCATGACATGTCAACACTTTCCCTTCTTGACCTTAGGTTCCCTATTACCAGCTTTCCTGTCCCCTCCTGCCTTCTAGTCCTTGTCCCTGGGCTGTTGTGCCCCATTAGTCTCGTTTTGTTTTATGGGGCTGTCTAATCTTTGGCTGAAGGGTGAACCTCGGGACTTCATTACTGAGCTAAAAGGGTGTCCGGGGGCCATACTCTCGGGGTTTCTCCAGTCTGTCAGGCCAGAAAGTCTGGTCTTTTTTTGTGAATTAGAATTTTGTTCTACATTTTTCTCCAGCTCTGTCCGGGACCCTCTGTTGTGATCCCTGTCAGAGCAGTCAGTGGTAGCTGGGCACCATCTAGTTGCACTGGACTCAGTCTGGTGGAGACCACAGTAGTTGTGGTCCATCAGTGCTTTGGACTAATCTTTCCCTTGTATCTTGTTTTCTTCATTCTCCCTTGTTCCTGAAGGGGCGAGACCAGTGGAGTATTTTAGATGGCTGCTCACAGGCTTTTAAGACCCCAGACGCTACTTTTGGTGAAGTCTTTTGATGAGCATAAGTGTTTGATTTTTAGGAGCTCGCAGTTAGCTAGTTGGCAGTTTCTGATAAAGTTGCGTGTACACTTCCATATAGCAGTCCCACTCCTAGGTGTTCACATAAGGAAAAACATGTGGCACACAAAGACCCGTAGATAAATGTTCATAGCCTCTTCATTTATAACTGCCCCAAACGGGAAACAACCCAAATGTCATTCAGCAAAGAACGCTAGTTAGCAATAAAATGGAATGAACTACTGATATAGGTAATACCAACCTAGAGCAGTCTCCAAAGCATGATGGTAAGTGACAGAAGCCAGTCACCAAAGGCTGCATACTGTATGGTTCCATTTATCCTGGACATCCTGGAAAAGGAACAAAAATCTGACCAGTGGTTGCCAGGGGCTGTAGCAGGAGGAGAGGGACTGCAGGAGGGCACAGAGGAACTTGGCGGGAGATGGAAACATCGTAGACCTGGGTTATGGCAGTGGTTAAGACAACCCTATACCTTTGTCCGAACCGCTTTAAGTATACGCCTGTACGTTTTACGGTGTGTAGGTTACATCTGTTTAACAAAGCAGCTGCAATGACTGCAGCACCTCACTCAGGGACACGGATGGATGAACTGCTCTGTCCCTGACGGTTTGTGGAGATGGGGACAGTGATACCTGCTGAGTGTCCTGTGCGTGGATTTGAAGTGATGGCTATCACGAGCCCTTATGTCGCCTTTCCATTTAACAAAAGGCTGCAGGGCAGATGTTACATCTCAGTGCCCATTGTTGCAGGTGCCTCCTTCTCCCTGGGTTCTGCGCTCGGCCACCCTGCCTCTTGTCCCCAGAAGTGGTCACCGTGTGGACACCGGCTCTTCTGGCGGCACAGGACCAACCAAGAGCTTGCATTTAAACTTAAAACGTGTGCTGGTGAAACATTTGTTCTGGTATTCATCACTGCTTTTCACATTTCAGTAGTTGGCGTTCAAATATGAACAGCAGCTACTGATGTGCTGATGGGTTGTGCTGACTTGTTAAGAAATGACCTTTTTAGGAGCGTGCTGTCACAGTATAGGGAGAGCAACTAGGGTCACATAACAATGTGTGCATAAATATTTGTATGAGAAACTAACTTCAGTTGTAAACTTTCACTTAAAGCACAGTTAAAAAAAGAAAGAAAGAAAGAAATGCCCTCTCCCCCCGCCACCCAAATCTTCCTCCCAGGGTTTTGAAAAATCAGAGAGGTGGGCAGGCCTCTGCAGAGCCAGAATGCAGGTTTTGCTGTGATTACCAGTTTGAATACTGTCGGTAGCAGTGAGTTGGAAGCTAGCCGTGGGCGCTGTTGAGGCTGAATTAGGGCTGGGATTCTCCTAGCCTGTGCTGTTGCCACCAGCTCAGCGGTACTGAGTTGTGTGTTGTTGGGTCGTTTGTTTCTTCTTGCCGGATGTTTTTCAAAATGACAGCAAAGCCCTTTTTGAAGGAAAGGGAGCACATGATGTCCCTTCCAGCGGGTCGTGAACATGTGTGCTGTGCCTTTCCCAGAAGGGCTGCTGATTTTGGATGGACCACCCAGGCTCAGCCTCTGTGTGTATGCGAGCTGCTAAGTGGCTTTTCTTGCCAGGGAGGAACATCTGGGCTGAGGGGCTGTGGAGGGAGCAGGCCGGCTGGAAATCACACCCTACCTCTCAGGCTCTGGAGGAGGCCACCCAGGCCAGCCGGCTTCCAGGGGACTTTGCTGTTCACCAGGACTCTGGTTCCCCTAGAAGTGGCCCATTGAGAGCTCTGGCCACCGAACAGCCCTACCTGGAGGGCCCGCAGCTCCCTCTGCCCCTTTGCCTGCCTCCAGGCAGGGCCCCAGGGGCTGTTCCTTTGAAGGTCTAATCTCCCCCTTCCCGGAAGAGCCCCCATTGCCCTCTTCTGCCCCTGGCTAACTCCGTTCAGGCCTGGAGGAAACATCAGATGGTTTGAACTCTTGGTTTGTGTCTATAACCTGTCGTGCAAAGAGAAAACGACCCTGGGCCATCCTGTCTGTCAGGAACTTCCCACGGACTAAGATAAAAATGCTGAGCATGATCAGCCAGACAGAGGGACTTGTAGAAAAGGTAAAACTGACAAAAGCTTGGCCGAGATTCTTGAAGACAGTGAGAGGAAGGGGATGAAACTGTCATCTATCCGTTTTCTGTCCTGTTTCCTCTGGGTGCCCAAGGATCACTTACCTTAGATCCTTCCAAATCCGTGGCTCAGAAAATGAAACCTGTTGAGGGGCACTTTGATTTTCACCCCAAATTAGGTATTAACATTCTCCCAGTTATTCTTTTATACTTGTAATTTAAATGAGCTAGTCTTTCTTTTTAAATGTGAAAAAAAGCAATCAAAACTCACCTTGCACCCTGGCAAAGCAGGTAGGCGTCTGAGCTTTGCTAGCAAGGCTGTCCAACCCAGAGCTGTTTGAAAAACTGCCTTCAGCGCAGCCAGCCACTGTGGCGTTGGGAATCTGGCAAGCGGTGGAACTTCTCTAAGCCTTCGTTTCCTTGCTGGTAAAATGGGGACAGTTATTCCAGCTTGTTAGGGTGGTAGCAATATTTGTGGGCATAAAACACCAAGTGTGGCGCCCGGAACACAGGAGGTGCTCAATAAGTGGGAGACCGTGCTTATCGCAGTCACTGGAACGTGCTAATAACCAGCATGTGATGACATCAGATCAGGAGGCACCTGGAAACCTGTCTGTACCGATAACAACCAAAACACTGGGAGCCCAGAAAGCCTGTGGTGTTAGTTATAAGATCATTTTAACCTGAGTTACTAAAATTGTTTTTCTGTTAAAAAAAAAAAAAAAAAAAAAAACCTCCTCTTAGGCGTCACCTACTCTGGGAAGCTGTCCCTAGCTCCCTTTGGGCCTCCCTCAGCCCACAGTCCCCCTGTCCGAGCCCTTTGCACGCTGGCCTGTCCCCTCCTTGGCCTGTAGGCTCCTGGAGGAAAGGGCCGGCAGGTGGTGCCCGGTACCTGGCCTGGAGCACTGCCCCCATGGCAGGAGTATTGAGGAGCTCTGAGTGGCGGTGTTTGTGTGTTCCTGGAAGTAATAAACCGGGGAGGCTTGTTGTCTGATAAGTAGGGCCCCTCTCATACACGGGGAGAGGGAAATCAGAACATGACCCTCGGGGTGAGTGCGTCCGCGGCCTGGCTGGCGTGGAGGCCATCTGGGCGCAGTGAGGGCTGGCCCAGGGGGCTGTGAGCCCCACACTCACGGCGTGTTCTGTGTCCCAGGTCGGGAACTACAAGCGGACGGTGAAGCGGATTGACGATGGCCACCGGCTGTGCAGTGACCTCATGAACTGCCTGCATGAGCGGGCACGCATTGAGAAGGCCTACGCCCAGCAGCTCACCGAGTGGGCCCGGCGCTGGAGGCTGCTCGTGGACAAGGGTAGGGAGCTGCCTGCTGATGGTGCCTGCCCGCTAGCTGGGGGCTCTGGACGGGCAAATTGCTGGCCCTCTCTGGGCCTGTTTCCTCTTATACACGTGGGGCAGGGGGTTCTCGCAGATCTGATGGGGGCTGTGGTTTGGCTGGGGAGCAGCAGCGTATGTGAGCCTGCAAACCCGGGCTGTGTGAGCCCTGCACCTGTCCTTGGAGACACCGGAAGGCTCTCTGCAGACAGCACCCAAGTCCCCTATTCAGTCGTTGCCCTGAGGACACGCCTACCCTTGCCAGTTTAACTCAGAACAGCTCCTTAAGGCCAAACACTTGAGTCAGTTCCTAGCATTTAAACTCAGCACCTTGGTTTCTGACTGAGCGCTGTTTATTTTTAAACGTGGCCAAATGGCAAATCAGGTAAGACTAGGTGGGGCCAGCTGGTAGGCTTTCTCTTTTGAGTTTTAAAGGGGAGAACCACAGGTGTTGTGTGGTGGAGGTTTTGTCCTCTCCCTCCCTGCCATAAAGCCCAGAAGATTCTGAAGCTTAGCCACAGAGCTGCCAGTGAACGTGGAACATGCTGCCCGAGCAACTGATGGATGATGGGATTTCTGAGAGCAGAAGCAGATCAGCGGGGGGTTTCTCAGGCTTTGTTTTGGGGCAGCCCCCTCCACAGTGACTGGTGTCCTAGGAAAAGCCAAAGGGGGAAGCCAGGCTTGGGCCAGGGACCCGGGAGAGAGTCTAGACCAGCTGGCTGTCCTTCCCCTTGTGGCTGGGACAGGAACGGCGGGCCATGGGGCCTCGCACAGTGCCTCATACCGAGCAGGTGCCCAGGGAGCGGAGCAGGCACCCGTGGGTGAGGAGGGCGGGGAGATGGGTCAGCCTCCTTCAGTGAAAGGGGCTGTTCCTACTGTATTTCCACCTGGCTCAAGTCCCCCTCTCAGGATCCAGCTGTCAACACCACCCCTTCTCTACTTAGGACTTGAGACCCCAGAGCACTCTGGATGTCACCTGTGGAGCCGCACAGCTCTGCAGACCTCGGCAGGGTAGGGCCATGCTCACCTTGTGGACACAGGGGTCAGAGTGTCAAGCTTCCATGATCACACTTCTGCTGCACCCAATCCCAGAGCCACGTGCCCCTCTGCTGGAGGGGAACCCTTTGAGGACAGGCCTGGGGCTTCTGTCCTAACATTCTCCCTCCCTACTTGACTCACCCTACGCCACCCCATTAACAAAAGAGACAGGCTGGATTAAGGGGTTCCTGCCTGAGAGCAGTGAGGAGGGGTGAGGGAACTCAGGCCCCCCTGACCCCCCCACTATCTAGAGATGTAGATTCCTGCCTCCTCCTCTCCTTCCTCCCCCCAAGGCGGGGCGTCCATTCTGCTTGGAGCCAGGCTCTCAGCTGGCGGGGGGATGGGGGTGAGTAAAAGTGGCCGTGGCCCTCAGGAGGACATGTGTCCAGTGGAGGGAGGGGGCCAGCCCTGGGGCCGACAGGCACAGGAGGCCCACAGCAGGAGGGGAGCCAGCCACGGGAAGGAAGGGAGAGGGTGTGGGCATGTGGGGACAGCCTGCTTCTCGGGCCAGCCTAAAGCAGACTCAGACTTCCAAAATGCAGAAACTGGAGTTTTTGAAGAGCTCAGTGACTTTGAAAAAGGGAAATGCATGTAATCCCCCCAAATTCCCTGTGAAAAGATTCAGCTTCAGTTCCGTACTTTTTCCTTATCCCAGGGAACTGAGGAGGGAACAGAGCCACGGAGAGCAATGTCTGCGAGACCCAGGAGACCTGGCGGCCGGGCCACCGGCCTGAGATCCCACGCTGACGGCCGAGGGAGGGCCCCCGCTGGGAGTCCCCACCCCAGGGCCCCCGGTACTGAGTGATCCCCGGCTTCTCTCCTCCGTCAGGGCCGCAGTACGGGACAGTGGAGAAGGCCTGGACAGCCGTCATGGTCGAGGCGGAGAGAGTGAGCGAGCTGCACCTGGATGTGAAGGCCGCGCTGATGAACGAGGACTTCGAGAAGATCAAGAATTGGCAGAAGGAGGCCTTCCACAAGCAGATGATGGGAGGCTTCAAGGAGACCAAGGAAGCTGAGGATGGCTTCCGGAAGGCACAGAAGCCCTGGGCCAAGAAACTGAAAGAGGTGCCTCCCTCCTGCGAACGGGTCCCCGCCTGCCAGCACGGCAGCCCCTCCCCGCCACCCTGGCCACCTTGGCACCCCGGCCCCTACCCACCATGCTCCCTCACACACACTCCAGGGATCCTGCCAGCTGATCTGGGCAGAGAAGGGCCCCCTCAGCCAGGAGCCCTGGGCGGCCAACCTTTACCCCGCTCTGAGTGCTTCGCGTGCACTCTTTACCCGTGATCCTTAGCACAGCCCCCTTCACAGACGGGGACACTGAGGCTCAGAGCTACGCACCATTGGCAGAACTCAAAACCCAAGGTCTTGACCACTAACAACACCTCCCCTCCCCCAGCCCTGGGGGATTGTCACCTAGAGAGATTTAAAAATCCCTTTGGACTAGATAGGATTAATGTAAAATTTTTGTTTCTCTTGCATGGATTTTTCTCTTAAATTTGCAAATGATACTGTGATTCATTTTTCTAAAAGTAGCATCAAAACCACTGAGTTTTGTTCTGCCTTCTCTAGCTGGAGGTCGTCACACACCCAACCCAGGTGCCTTCCACAGGCCCGGAAGCCTGGCCCGGCCCCTCTCTTCAGGAGAAAGCCTCCCCGTTAGCGCCACCCCCCACCCGACTGTCTCTCTCCGCACTGCCTTCCTCCTCTCAGAATCACCCAGAACAGACCTCCGTCTGTGGGTTGTAACAGTGCACCTTCCTTCTTTTCTCCGTTTCTTGCTGCCCCTGGCCCCAGACGTGTAGCTAGGGAACATGTTCCCCGTTCCTAAGGAAACTATCCGCCCCTCATGAGGCCAGTGCCGCAAACTCATCTTTCCTCTCTAGATGATGGCTCACGTAGCTGTTAAATAAATACTACACACGTGTGTGTGTGTACACAGAACAACCTTTGAAAAATACCGAAAATGTGGCCAATAATCATGCCTTCCCAGATTAGCTCAGTTAGGTGTTGCCTTTAGGGCCATCTTTGTATGCACTGGTCCACCTGCCGGGAATGCTCTTCCTCAGATACCCACGTGGTTTGCTTCTGCACCTCCTTCAGATCTGACTCCTTGTCTCCTTACTGAAGCTTTCTCCAGCTCTTCTGTAGCAGTTGCTGGCCCACCGACACTGGGGCACCGTCTCTCTGCCCTGCTTTCTTTCCTCCGCGGCATTTATGGCCTCTTCTCATTTTCTTTATCGTTGACTCATGCGGTTTCCCCGTTTGGGGTGTAAGGCTCGTGGGGCCCAGCGTCTTGTCCTGCTTTGCACCCCTGACGCCTGGTACAGCAAGCAGCCCAGAGCAGGCCCGCGGGCAGCCCTTGTGGAGTGAACGCCTGTCACCTGGTTGCTTTCCTCTCTCTCGTGATAGCACAGGCGCTTCCTCCAGCCTGGGTAACGTCCGGGGAGGATTTTGAACCTTCAGAAGTGTGATGCCCAGGAACTTGTTCTTCTCCTAGGTGGAAGCAGCAAAGAAAGCCTACCACGCAGCTTGCAAAGAGGAGAAGCTGGCGATATCACGAGAAAGCAACAGCAAAGCCGACCCGTCCCTCAACCCTGAGCAGCTAAAGAAATTGCAAGACAAAGTAGAAAAATGCAAGCAAGATGTTCTCAGGGTAAGTCGTGCGTGTTGTAGGTGGCACGTGTTTTTATATGTTGAGTGTACATGTTTCATTTGCTCATGTATCTGGCACATAGTCAGCATCTTACAAATGCTTGCTTGGATGGGTGGATTGCTGGATAAAGCATTTAACAAGTGCTTGGTTGGATAGGTGGGTTGCTGGATAAGTGTCAAGAAGGTCGCCCAGGTAAGCAGCTTTTCCCACCACAGCCCGTGGTGCCCACCTCACGACTAGGCGCAGGAACCAGGTGCTGGGGACGCAGGGGAGAGGATGATTGCTCGTGCTGAGGGGGTGAGGTGGCGGGGCAGCTTCCCAGCGAGGGCTGACAGGGATGGATGCAGGCAGAGAAGCAGGAGGACACAGCTTGTGCAGGAGCATGGAGGTGGCAATGTCACAGTCAGCTTCAGGAAAGTGATGCATCACCTGGCACGGTGGGTTATGAGGACCTGATCATCAACGGCCTTTAATGGCAGGCGAGTAAGGAGCTTAGGGTGCTCCTGGCAGGGGCCACTGCAGGGGGGCTCTGGAGCCCCGTGACGGGAGGGCAGACAGCTCAGAAGGATCGCTCTGGCAGTGAGTGGCAGGAGGGCAGGGGGCAGAAGCTGGGCAGGCCTTCAGAAAGCTGTTGCGGCAGCCTAGGTGCCCCAGGTACAGAGGTGGAGATGGAGGGATGGTGGAGGCCAGGGGAGCGTGGCTGGAAAGCCCGGTGCATATGACCTGAGGGAACGAAAGGGCTGGGAGGGGTGCAGCTGTCCTGCTGCCTGGGCAGTGACAGGCCCCAGAAAGGTGGGGGCAGAGGCTGGGGTGTTGGCTCGGGTGGTGGGCAGTGACTTCAGCCAGGAAGAGACAGTGGCCTTCTCGTGCCCTCTGTCTTCTCTGGGGAGGGGCAGTTCTCCACTTCAGAGGGCTTCTGAGAAGATCAAATGAGGTGAATCTGTAAAAGCTCTTTGTCAGCTGTCAAGTGCTCACAGACATAGGTAGTCATTCTGCCTGGAAGGTTCCATTGTCACGGGATTTAAAAACTAGTCCTAGGCGTCTTCTTGTCATTTGAAAGGAAGTAAGTGGTCCCAGCTCGGCCCCCTCCCTTCATTGCCCTGTTGTAGGAGGCTGGGGGAGGGTCTTGGAACCCAGGGGAAGAGATTCCCGACCTGTCTTTGGAGAAGGATGAAAGGAAGTGTTAGAGAGGGCTGCTTTCCAGGGGCTGGGCTTGCAGCCGAGGGGAAGCAGGGGTCCTGAGGTGTTGCTCCCGCCAGCCTTTTCAGGCTCGGATGAGCTTCCCTGCGCCTCTGTGAGTTAGAGGATGTCGCCTCTGCTTTGTGAACAAGGAAACTGAGGTCAGAGAGGTTCCATCACGAGTCGCCCAGTAATGTCAGCCGGGAGATATGAGACCAAAGCCTGGCCCCTTCCACTGCCCTCGCCTGGCCGCTTCCACTGCCCTCACTGCCGTCAGCGTGCTGGGGGGTTGTCTCCAGGAGAGTTTTCACTCAGGGCCAGTGTCAGCACACCTGAGAGCAGGCCCACTGCCCACCCTCTCTGGGGCCAGGGCCAGGAATCGGGGGTTTTGGAGCAGCGCAGGGGCCTCCATTGTGGGGCCAGGTGGGGAGCCTGGGATGGCACTGGCACTGCTACTGAGTAGGGGACCCTGGGCTCGAGAATCATCAGGCCAGGGGCACTTTCAGGGCTGCCTTTGCCGGGATCCCAAGGGCTCAGGTGCTCAAGTGGGCACCTGGAGGAAAGAGGAAGTATCTCCATATGGGCGTAAGGGGAGGGGGGTCATGTTTTACAACCACCTAGAGCAGGGATGTCACAAAATGGATGTTTTCAAAGAACAGGGCATGAGGTCAGACACGGTGTGTCTGTCAGGACACGGCCCAGGAGAGAGTGTGACGAGGGTCCCAGTGACCATAGGCACTGAGCTCCGGAGGGGCTGCCCCTTCCCCTGCGTCCACCTGTTTGGGCCTTCCTCCAGCTGAGAAGCAGGGCAGATGCCGGAGTGTGATTTGCAGTTCACAGGTGTAGGGGCCGGGACTTGAACTCAGGTCTGCCAGACTTCAGCGCTCATATATTTTGGGTTTTGGAGTCTAGGGAGGCCTGAGAAGGTACACAGCTCGTCCTGCTGCACGGTGGGGTGTCACGGAGGCTTTCCCCAAGGATGGCATCGGTGGTGGAGATGACATCTGTGATGAGCTTTGGGGACCTAGTTGTGGGGCGGGGGGTGGGGTGAGGGGGTGTTTACCGGGCCCAGATTGGGTGGGGGCACTTCATGAGCAAAGGTGGGAGTGAGTTCTCTAGGCTGGAACTTGAGGCCTGTACAGGAGATAGGATTAGGGCCCCAAAGTAGGTCGGGGCGCTCCTGGGATCGTGGGCGGCTGGGTCACAGCTCCTCACTGTGCGTGACCCCCAAGTGACCTCAAGCAGCTGGTTTGGTTTTGTCACCTAATGAGTAAGTCAGCTGCTAACGGAGGCAGACGTGGTCAAAAGAGACCAAGGGCGCGTGAGGACCAGGGCGACGCAGAGTCCGGCTCGCTTCCCCGTGGCCGGCCACCGGGAGCTGCTCCGTCCTTCTGGGCAGTGCTCCTCAACGCCTCGGTGCCCCCAGGCCGTCCGACACGGGCTTGCTGTGAGCACCAGCCTGCTCGACCTCACGCTTCACTGGAGGGATTGATGCCTTTGAGGCTCAGAAGTAGAGACTCAGGTGTGTTAATTTAAAAGGTGTAATAATATGACAAAACTCAGACGTGGGGAGGGTGGGCGAGGAAGTGTGGGTGGAAGTGTAAATGTACTAATCTTGCCATTTTTTAAGCAGTAGAGAGTCAGTAGATACTATCTAGAGATGTGAATGAAGAAATAGAGGTTTAAGTATATTTTATAACTTACGAAGTTAACCTCTAAAAGTAAAAATAGGAGGAAAATAATACACGTCAACTACATAAAAGAAAAGTTCTAACGGAAACGTGGAAAATCAAAGGCATAATATGAATTAAGACCAAACATATGTCCTGTCAATGACTATAAAAAAACAACAGAGCCCAGGTACAGACACATCTAAGATGGAATGACCTAGAAAGGCCACGAGAAGAGGTGAGCAGGCTAGGCAGTGAACACCAGCCAGGGAAAGCCGGGGAGCGGTATCCACGTCAGACAGAGTCAGATTCGAGGCCAAAAGTGTTCAGGAGGACAGAGAAGCGCCAAAGGGCCCACTGCATGCTCAGGGCCGGCTGTTACACATTTCATGCCCGGAAGGTCCTTGTATCCAAGTGAATGAGGATACGCAATGCATGAACGCATGGGGGGCTCCAGGTGTGGGGTAGGGGCCAGACCCTGAGCCTGTCTCCACCCTTCTCACCCCAACCTCAAGGCAGGCAGCTGGGGCCATCCATTCTGCAGGGAAGCAGCCAGCGTGCCCACCGTGGTCTGCTCGGGGGGCCTCTGTGCCACCTCGGCTGGTGCCCAGGTTTCAGTGTTCTTTGCCGGCCCAGGTGGCCATTGTTTGAACAGCGTCACTATACCCCCGGCCCTGACCCAGATGGCACCCTTTGCTCAGCCCCTGCTCTGGCTCCCACGCCCTTGTGCTACCCAGGGGGGCAGGGGCGGGGCTGGGTGGTGTACCCCCTCTGACCTCAGGCTGCATCATCCCTTGAGCTCAAGCCTTTTCTAAAGCCCAGATTCGGTTCCCTCACTCTTACAAACCTGTGAGGACTCAAGTTTGCCTGCAGAAATACGATCTAAACCCCTCAGGGCACCACTCAAGCTGTGCGCTCCTGGCCATGCGGCCCTCCGGTCCTCCCCGCCTCCATGCAGCTCGGGCTGTGCCCTCAGCCTGGGCTTGCTGCCCCTCTTCTCTGGTCATTGATGATGGAGAAGCGTTGGCTAAGAGAGATTCCCACTTTGAACCTGTCTGCCAGGCCGTCACCTTAAAGACCCAGCAACCCCGCTACGGTGAGGTCCTTACAGATGAAGCCTCAGTTTAACTGGATTTGTTTTGTACCCCGGTGTTAGCAGATAGTGGTAACTCCCTTTAGTTAAAACTAATTTGGTATGAGCAAGAGCCTAGCAATAGCTCATTCATACAGGACTGGGCACCACTTGGATGGGGCTCTGGGGCCATCAGGGAGCAGATCCCAGCCGTGCCTCCTTCTGGGGACCCGCCTTAGCTCACGCACCAGCGTTGGCTTTGAACTTCCCTGCGTCTGCCCCTTGGCCTGGGAGCAGAGTGTCTGGCTACTCTAGGGACTCCCCTTTCGAAGTCCAAACCAGGCCTTCCTTTCTCACCTCCTCTCTCCCACTTCCCCCAGGACACCTTGTGTTCCATCTGGGCTGGAGCCTCTGCAATGTCTGGTCTGCCCGCTTTCACTTCTGCCCCCTCGTAGCTCCTACTGCTGCAGTCTGCCTCCTCCTCTGAGGCCCACGGGACCCCCTCCTCCAGGCGGCTGGTCCCTCTGCCGGCTCCTTGGCCTTGCCACACCTCTCTGAAGACCCTGCATGCATCCTGTGTAACCTGGAATTGCTGGTGGCGAGCTGGGGCTGCGTGGAATTCAATCTTTGTCTGTGGTCCCTGCGTTTTCTTCCAGACCAAAGAAAAGTATGAGAAGTCCCTGAAGGAGCTGGACCAGAGCACCCCCCAGTACATGGAGAACATGGAGCAGGTCTTCGAGCAGTGTCAGCAGTTCGAGGAGAAGCGCCTGCGCTTCTTCCGGGAGGTTCTGCTGGAGGTTCAGAAGCACCTAGACCTGTCCACCGTGGCCAGGTACATTCCCTTTCAGCTAAAGAACGTGCTGCAGTGAAGCCAGTGGAAATATGCTTCTGCATAAGCTCCGTTGCCGCTCTGGCAGGCCTTGGAAGCCAGTGCCTTTCAGAAAGGCTTCCCATTGTTATTGAATGCGCCTGCTTCTCCAGCCCTTCTCCTGGGGCTGCAGCCGCCTGGTTGGCCTGTGCTGCTTTCCTGCTGCCCCAGCGGTCTGGCTGCAGCACTGAGCGCTGCCCTGAGCAGGACATCCTCTTGTCGTGAGATAGGACGGGTCATACTCTGACCAACTCCCTGTCCAGGTCTGGGCCAGCAGCTGGGACCAGCCACAGTCACGGCGTATTAGAGTCCACCTGATTCCCGGCCTGACCTTCGGGCCCTTTTGTAAAGCCCTCGTCACCCTGAGCGCTCGCTGCTGCTCGGCTCCCGGCTCCTCTGGTCCAGGCCCTCGGCGGAGCACATACTGCCGGTGGTTCAGCTCTGAGTCATTACTTGGAGGCTGTGATAGTTCTTCCTCACTTTCCTTGTCCTTGGTGCCATGATGCTTTCGCCAGGGCAGAGGTCCAGGTTAACCCAGAATGCAGACTTCTGTTGCCCCATGGCAGAGCCGTGTAGAAATGAGTCACAGGCCAAACTCTTCTGTAACAGGAAGCCACATCCCCTTTGTCCCCTACTGTAGAAACGACATCAAGGGCAGCAATCACTGCACACCTACTTTGTCTGCCTCCATTGAGTTCATCTTTATGACAGTCTTAAAAAGTGGGTGCATTATACCCCCTGTTACTGATGCGGCCCCTGAGGCTGGGCCAGGCTCAGGGGTTGCCTGAGGTTACAGCCCAGCTGGAGGGGGCGGGGCCTTGTGTGGTTCTCCTCTGTGTGTGGCTGTCCTCGGGCTGCAGGCCAGACTGCGTGCTCCTGGTCTTATCCAGTCCTCCAAGCCTCCCTGGGAAGTAGATGCACTGTGCCTGCTCAGTAGAGGGGAAACTGAGGCCCAGGAAAGGTAAATGACCCACTGGCACACAGATCATAAGTGAAAATGCCCGCTCCAGCAGTGGCGCACACTCCTGTCCTGCACGGTCAGCCCCCTGGGATGGAGAGCTGGTTGGAGCTGCTGAGCAGGAGGTGTCCTCCACCCCAGGGGTGGCAGGCTCTGCGGCCACCATGGTGCTAGACGGCCTTGGCTTCCTCCTTTGGCGTAAACCTCCAGCTTTTCCAGTGGAAATAAGGGAGGGGTGCTTGGGTGCTTTCTGACACTCCAACATTCTCCTTCTCACTTCCAGACTTGATTAAATGGTTCGTTTCCATATGGATTGGTGCCCCAAGTGGCCCATCTGCTGGTCCCCTCCCTTTTTTTTTTTAAATAATTTATTTCCTTTTTGCTGTTGAGAATATACACAGCAGAACATGCAATAATTGAGCAATTTCTACATGTACAATTCAGTGACATGGATTACATTCTTCGAGTTGTGCAAACACTCTCACCCTCCTTTTCTGAGTTGTTCCTCCCCCATTAACATAAACTCACTGTCCCCAAGCTTCCTGTCTAATCTTTTGAGTTGTTGTCAGTTTGATCACATATAGATAGTTCTTAAAAGAGCACAATACTCAAGGCAGACGTTCTTCACTAGTTAAGCTAAACTATTGATTGGTTTTAAGTAGACTTCAGAGGTTATTTTTGGTTTAAGTTTTAAAGATCATCTCAGGGCTATAGTTTCAGGGGTTCATCCACCCTCCATGGCTCCAGAAAGTCTAGATTCCATGAGAATTTGAAATTCAGTTTTGCATTTTATCCCTTTTGATGAAAGATTCTTCTAGAGAATCTTTGATCGAAATGTTCAGTAGTGGTGGCCGGGTACCATCCAGTTCTGGTCTCATCTGCTGGTATCTTTTACATTACCTGACACGGAGCAAAGCTTCCTTGTTGCCACCTGGTTTAATTTAAAGTGAATTTGTCAGAAGCTGTGACTCCCGTGCCCTGGTGATAGACTTGCCCACGTCTGTGCACGTCGTGGCCAGCTGACCATCCACCAAGTAGGGAGGGCGTTACCAATCTGCATTTGTGGGGTCAACCTCTGTGTGGCTGTGGGTCCACGGTGCCTGCTGGTGGCCAGGCGCTGAGCTAGGATGAGTGATGTCTGCTCCCTGCCTCCCGAAAGAGTCATGCCTCTCTCCGTGATTTAGCTACAAAAACATCTACCGCGACCTGGAACAGAGCATCAAAGCTGCAGATGCAGTGGAGGACCTGAGGTGGTTCAAAGCCAATCACGGGCCCGGCATGTCCATGAACTGGCCTCAGTTTGAGGTAAGAGGCGCTACGGCGCCCGGGACCCTTGTCGGCAGGGGCGGGGCTGGGCCCGCAGAGCTTCAGTTAGACGGTCGTTCTGAATGTCCTAGACTCTGAGTTGGCAGCCGCCCTGTTTACCAGGCAGCCTTTATGCACAGCTGCTGTACAAACCAAGTTGTGTTTAGAGTCCCAGGGGACCGCAGGCCTTGCTGCTAGGCCTCTGGAATCCGGTGAGAGGTGCAGCTGAGGATGTCTGACCGTAACTTGCTAACCAGTGGCACGCCCCTCGTGGTTCCTGGCCCTGCCCTGCGGGATGGTGGCCTGAGGGCTGGCCGGGAAGGGAGAGGCTACCCTGCACACCAACCCTGGTGGCTGAGAGTGCACCCGGCCACTCCGTGTTCGGACTGGAAGGGACGGGCAGCCCAGTGTGTGGCTTTCCTGACCCTTCACATAGGACCTTTCTTTGTTCCAGACAGTAAATTCAACCAGCTTGTGTTCCGGATTACTGTATTTTTACACAAATAACAAGTGCATTATAAATCTTTTGCCAACCGTGCAACACCCCTCACTATTTCTGTAGGTGAACTATGCGACGTGTTATATGTGTGGGCATGTTATTTGTGGAAAAATATGGTAACTTTTCTCTTTCCCATTTTCATGGGTCTGAACCTACCAGTATCTTTACATGGCAAAATGCAAGGGCTTGGGGATCACGGGACTCTTCCAGCCCCAAGACTGGGTCACCAGGCCCCACCTGGACCCCTGATGATGGTACAGAAGGCAGTGGCCGCAAGTCCTGCCATCCCCAATCTCTGAAGGAAGGGGCTCTTCAGCGGCAGGGGCTGGAGCGCCTGGGTGTTAGCCACATCAGGTTGGGATGGGGAAGGCTCTGTGGGTGGGGCCGCGGGGCTTCACCCAACTGGGTGGGGTCAGAGTTTGGGCTGCCTGCAAACCCTGCGGGCACCGCTTACCAGCTGTGCAGTGCTGTGCAGGGCTCCAATTTCGTTCTGAGCCAACTGATCTGAGGCAAGAGAATGATTACTAGACAAATGGATGACCTTGATTTGGAGCCAGGAGTCACACTTGCTTTTTTTGTGACTCAGTTTTACCATGTGTAAAAGGAGCATGACAGCAGCACCTGTCTCCTCAGGTTGCTGGGAGTTCAGTGACCTGGTCCCCACCGGGTTATCAGCCCAGAGCCAGGCCCAGAAGTGGCCGCTGTCGTTAGGCCCACCGCACGGAACCTCCTTGGTCCCTCTGCTAGCCTGTGGGTCTGTCAGTCCTCTCCCTGTGCTTCTCCAAATGACAGCGTGGGTCCCTGCAGCCACCACTCCCCTGCATTATCCCCTGCTCCCAGGAGGAGGCCACAGAGCAGGCTGTGCCCGCTTCCATGGGGGATGGGGAGAAAGCAGGGGCCAGGGTCTCCCCAAGTAGGAGTGGACCTCGGGGAGCCAGCAGCAGAACCTCCCCTCCCCGCAGTGATGGCACACTGGGGGGATGGCTTCGTGCCACCTCTTGTGCACACAGCGAGGATTTAACCCTGGGCAGGGCGCTTACCCCTCTGGGGAATGGCGGCACAGGTCACCAGCGAAGTTCTTCCCTGCACATTCCCCAGAGGATTTCCTTAGAGCTATTCGTTGGTGGCCAGAGAATGGAGATCTGGCAGGAAGGACTTGACAGCTCACTAGGGTGGCACCGGCAGAGCCCACGTGCTTGCAGCTCTTAGGGATCACGCGTGACTTTCTCTAATGACATTGTTTTTTTTTCCATGCCGCAAGGACGAAGTAAGTTTCTATTTTATGGATAACTCATTGAATTCCCAAGCTCATGGAGTGTGTCTGCAGCCGTTTGTGGGGGTGTGTGTGTGTGTGTGTGGTGCTTCACAGCCTAGTTTTGAGGATGCGTGCAGGTTAGAGACTGTAGGCTGCTTCTGTTGTGGGGGTTATTAATAGCTGCCCTTCCCTCAGGATCCACCTGACGTGGATCCTCTCAGGTCTTGGGACCCCCCCCCTCCGCCTTCAGGGTGCATTTCTATTCAAAACAGGGTCACCATAGGGGACTCTGAGACTCTGATCTCGTTCTCAGCCAACTTATGTCAGTCAAGAGAATACTTATAGACAAATAGATGACTGGATTTGGAGTGAGAGGCCCAGGTCAGCCACCACCTCTGGGTGGGCAAAGTCTCCCTTCCTTCCTGGGCCTCAGTTTCCTCATCTGACAAATTGACGGGTCAGACATTTGCTTGATGTGGCTAAGATGGCGCTTAATGTTGGCGTTCTGTAACTACACACGAGCAGAGCTGTGGGCTCAGCCGTGCTGGGTTTTACTGAATTAAAGTTGTTCAGGAATGGGTGGAAGTGGGAGGGAAAGAGAACACACTTAGAAAAAAATACACACACGTACACTTTGTTGGAAACATCAAGTCATTGCCGCCTTCCTCCTTGCCCCCACTCCCTCCATTTTTCAGTGCAGTTGATAAAAGCCTGCTCACGTGCTGGGAAACAGTAAGCCATTGTGGAGATGAACAGGCAGCCTCCCTTTGCTTTGGAGCCCCCAGCATACTGTCAGGTTAGAAGGGAGAGGCTCCAGGGCAGCACAGTCATCGTGAGAGGCTCCTGCCGTGTGGGGACGCGGTGCTCAGAGCTAGCTCTCAGTATGCTTTCATTCAGCCCTCTGATTGGGCAGTAGCTGCTGGCCCTGATTTTATTTGCGGTCCTGGGTTCTTGCCCTATTGCGAACCAGTGACAGTGTAGGGCATAGACAGGAAGGAGCTGCAGCAGTTAAGGCCGTGGCTGCCTGCCCCACCAAGCTCCTGAGCGGGCAGCTCCTGTCCACTTTGGAAGGCTCGAGGGCCCCTGACTGCTCCTGCTGCCTCACAAGCCCACACTGGCCTGAGGAAGCCAGAGGCTGAGGGGCCATGATGGGCAGGGCTGGGCCTGGGAGCCTCCACAGGGCTGGGACACAGGACACCTGGGTGTTAGCCCTACTCTGTCATCATCCATCCATGTTCCTGGGCAGTCAAAGCCTGCTCCTCCTGAGAGGCCGGGCCGGGGCCTGGTATAACCGTGCCAGCCTATAGGCCCTCTGAGGGGGAGGCCCCACCTGGCCAACGAGGAGGTCCCAGGTGTTTGGGTCAGTAGGTGGACGTCAGGGGCCTGGGCTCTGCTGGGAGACAGTAGGGGGAGCACAGACAAGGAGGTTCAGCCTCACTAGCTGCACGGGCAGAATGTTGGCGTGCTGGTCTGGGCTTCTAAACCGACGTGGCTGCCAACACGATTTCTCTCCCTGGCACTGTTGCCCAGGAGTGGTCTGCAGACATGAATCGAACGCTCAGCCGGAGAGAGAAGAAGAAGGCAGCCGACGGCGTCACCCTGACAGGCGTCAACCAGACGGGTGACCAGCCTCTGCACGACAAGCACAGCAGGTGAGCCCCGCGCGGCCTCGGGCCCCGGGCCGTCTGCCTGGGCCCAGGACACACCTGCGTGGGACAGCTGGGGGAATTCCACGGGACCTTGCAGGAGCCCCCATAAGCATCTTTCCAGAAGCTCCCTGGGTGGCCCGGCTCAGCTGGGCCGTGGCCCAAGGCCGTCTCCAGGGAGGCTCATTTTTCCGCCTGGGTGTGGAGCTGCTGAATATCCAGAGGGACCTTTACCACAAACGTATGGGCTTCAGGCCCCAAGTGAGGGAAGAGCTGGTGGCCTGTGCTGGACACTGGCGGTGGATCCCCCTGTGTGGGCTCAGGTGTCCTGGCGAGGTCTGTACTCCGGACACTGCCGGTGGATCCCCCCGTGTCGGCTCAGGTGTCCTGGCGAGGTCTGTACTCC